AGCGCCCCCCCCCCTCCCAGCCCCCAGACAGAGGGTGCTGCCAAACCATGCTGCTGTCTGTGTATCAGAGGCAGAAGCATGGGGCGACGGGCAACCAGTCCATGAGGGGAACTGGTTTTTAAATTGGCTCCCCTCGTTGACTAGCTCCCACCCGGCACCCCACGCTGCTGAAAAAGTGAATAGAGAAGGTTATTTATCCCCTTCCCACAATGCAAAACAGAGGCTACATCTACACAGCTTCCCTCTTCTGCAAAAGCTTATTGAAAGGAAGTGCAGATTAGCATATTGCCACGCTTCATTTGCATACCTGGGACAGGATTTAGGTGAGGGTGCAGGGTCTGGAGGAGAGTTTGGGTAGAGGAGGGAGTTCAAACTAGGTCAGGGGATGGGCTGCAAGAGGGGGTTCTGAGCTGGATGGGGTTTGGGGTGTTGTAGGGGAGCCTGGACAACCCTGTCTTGACCAGAATAATAATGTCCAGGGGGGCTGGACTCGATGACCTCTCGAGGTCCCTTCCAGGCCTATTATTCTATGATTATTCTATGATTGTCCAGCCCTGCCTTTACAGAACTAACAATGGCCATCTTGACCAAAGTGCAGTTTCTAACAAAGCAAACCCAGGCTTGACTCAAGCCTAGTGCATGTAGGCACATACGCCAGGCTCAGGGGGGTGGTGAGATTTGAGAGACAGGAGTGCTTTAAAAAGTAGTGTGTAGGGAGGATTGCTATAGTGAAACCATGCCAAGAACATTGGGAGAAACCTGATATTGGTACATAACATTTCTAATAAGCAAAAATCAGTGATGTAGCCATGGAACTATCAATCAAGAATAGTAGAATTTGAATTGCAGGATGTATCCCAAAAATGGGCATATATAATACATAATCAATTGGTAGATTTTACTAGAAATGGCCAAGTCGAGTATAAATATAAGGGCTCCCAACTACCTTACTCACTGCAACTAGAAGCTGTGCCTGTTCCTATCGACTGATGCATTGTGGATGCCTCTGTGCGTGGGGAAACGACGAGGCCACAACCTCCCGTCTGACAATCACAAGGTCTTAGCAGTGGAACTGTGTGTGATTTATAGAAATAAGTATATGCAGGGCTTGACAAACTGCGGCAAGAGCTACTCGCCAGCCCCGCACTGCGCATGCGCCAGACTGGCACTGTGCATGCATGCAGCTTTCATTTACTGTTCTGTACATAATGAAGTTAACAAGAGTTTTTCTGAGGTGTTTTTACTGGCTCTTCTCATATCAAAAAACTGAACCACACGAGAGGTGTGGGTGACGATGCAGGGTATGGGAGGGAGTTAGGGTTCAGGAGAGAGTTCCTACCTGGGACTTTGGGGTGTGGACTCTGGCTGAGCAGTGCTTACCTCTGGCAGCTCCTGGTCAGGGGCACAGTGCAAGTAAGATAGGCTCCTTGCTTGTCTGGGTTTCATGCTGCTCCCACAAGCAGCTGCTGTGTCCAGCCTCTAGTTCAGGGCTACTTTATAAGCAGCCTGAGGGCCACATGTGTCCCGCGACCTGTTTGTGGCTCACGGTGTGGTTTGGGTTTACATGGAGCTCAACATGCAGCCTGCGACTGGGAGCCAAACAAAAAATGTAGTCACTATAATGGTCTTCTGTTGATATGCGTTTTAGTACTGCCATTGCTCATTAAAAGTGCTGTCATATGAGTGGAAATTGGGCAAATATTGCATTTTATTCATATCAGCAGAACTGATTTAAATGGGGCTGAGTGTTGTGTAGTCTTGCCTTAATCTTTGTATTCATGTTTGTCAGTGTGAAGCTATTTGCATGTATTTGCATATATATGCAACCACTGTTAAGTTGTGGCCCTTGGCGTGTGCTATGAGTATCATTGTGGCCCCCAGGGCTTCCAAAGTTGAGTAACCCTGGTCTAGGTGGACAGGCCAGGCAGCTCTGCATGGTATGTGCTGCTTGCACTGAGAAACTCGGCCACAGCAGCTCCCATTGGTAATGCTCCCTGGCCAATGGGAACTGCAGAGCCAGTGCTAGGTTGTGGAGGCAGGATGCAGTGTTTTCCTTGGTGTTGCAGGGACATTCCCGGACTTTTATGCCATGGCACAGATTTGCTGCAGGCCGGATGAAATTAAGTGGTGGGCTGGAACTTGGGCTGTGGGCCAAAGGTTCCCCATCCCTGCTCTAAAGGTCCCTTGGGCTGCCCTGCTCCATCCTGCCCCCATCTTCTGCTGCATGGGCAGCAGGATGTGAAATCCTAAATTGCCTGTCCCAATCTGCCCCTCTGGAGGTAGCGTGAGATAGGCATAGCCTGGCACAGTCTGCTGGCTCTGCCCTCCCTAGCCTCTGTTGGCAGGTGACACGCACCCAGCACACTGAAGTAAAGGATCTATATTGAGGTCCCTTCCAATCCTACATTTCTGATATTTAGGAGAGCTCCATTACTACTTTGGACTTGAAAAATCAAGTGGGGATGCACCTGAACCAGGACCTGCGGTACCTCACATTTTTAAAGATGGGTCAAAGGTCTGATGATTGATAGCTGTTGAGGAAGGATTACTGCAATCTGTGCTTGCCCCAACTGATGTTCTCAAAACAAAGACCACTTTTCGTCTGAACAAGAGTGTTCAAGGTGCTGTAACTCGTGTGCATTAATTTCACAGCTTTGCAGGACTGGCCATAAGGGTAGGTCATCTGTGCAACCTCCCAGGGCACAGTGGTCAGGGAGGCACCATGCAGAAGTACACATTGCCGGCTGGTCGGGAAAGGACACAAAATGCATGGGGGGAGGCCACCAAAATTTCTCC